AAAGAGAATTCATGACCAAAGGCTCAAGTTAGTTTTACAAAGCCATTTATAGGACTGATAAATCATCAGAGGGTGGTCTGAATAGTAAGGAAAGGTTTAATGAAAAAACTGGACTTGAATTAGGAAGAAGAATAAAAGCTACCAGGTAACAAAATGAGGACAGTGCTAGGGAGATGGGTAGAGTGTGCACGAGGACAGAGTCTACACCTGTAGACTGTAGCGGATGGTGGGTATCAGGAGATGAGGAACCACCCATGGGTTACAGAGGAAGCTAAGGAGGCCAGCAGAGCACCATCCCAGGCAGGCCAGGGGGCTGGTGGGAAGCAGGACATGGAGGCACTCCAACTGCCAAGTGATCGGTATGTAATAAATCACTTCATTTGTTTATTTGTTCAATAAACAAATATTTGTTGAACGCCTACTACGGGATACCCATTAGGAACTCAAAGAGTAATCAGAGAATACAAGGAACTAAGTAGACAATGGTAGACCTGTAAGTTAAAAACAGACAACGAATAGAACTGCGCATGCAGGAGCAGGAGGAGGAAGTGGCCAAGTCTATCCGGGGGAAGAGGTGCCCAGGGAAGGTGTCACAGAGGAAAAACTTTAGCTCTGTCTTGAAGATAGTTAGTATTTCCAGGAATTAGCTTCCTGCTAATTATTTCATGAAATAATTAGCAGGAAGCTAATTCCTGGAAATACTAACTATCTTCAAGACAGAGCTAAAGTTTTTCCTCTGTGACACCTTCCCTGGGCACCTCTTCCCCCGGATAGACTTGGCCACTTCCTCCTCCTGCTCCTGCATGCGCAGTTCTATTCGTTGTCTGTTTTTAACTTACAGGTCTACCATTGTCTACTTAGTTCCTTGTATTCTCTGATTACTCTTTGAGTTCCTAATGGCTATCCCGTAGTAGGCGTTCAACAAATATTTGTTTATTGAACAAATAAACAAATGAAGTGATTTATTACATACCGATCACTTGGCAGTTGGAGTGCCTCCACGTCCTGCTTCCCACCAGCCCCCTGGCCTGCCTGGGATGGTGCTCTGCTGGCCTCCTTAGCTTCCTCTGTAACCCAGGGGTGGTTCCTCATCTCCTGATACCCACCATCCGCTACAGTCTACAGGTGTAGACTCTGTCCTCGTGCACACTCTACCCATCTCCCTAGCACTGTCCTCATTTTGTTACCTGGTAGCTTTTATTCTTCTTCCTAATTCAAGTCCAGTTTTTTCATTAAACCTTTCCTTACTATTCAGACCACCCTCTGATGATTTATCAGTCCTATAAATGGCTTTGTAAAACTAACTTGAGCCTTTGGTCATGAATTCTCTTTTAATGGTTTTTATTGCCCTTTATTTCATGCAACTATCTTCCTAGCTAGTCATATGGGGTTAAGTGCCAGGAAAATTTGATTGTTTCAATTTGAAACAACTGAAACAATCAAAAGTGGTTGTCTTCTTGGAAAGCAGGGCTAGAAATCACTACTAATAATAAGAAGAATATTTTCTAATAGCTAATGCTTATTTGTGCCAAGCATTGCTAATCACTTTACATCATCTGAATTACTTCTTTGTTTTATCTTATTGTAAATTGTCAGTTTAACTTTAGAACTATAGACTCTGTCCTCGTATTTTTCGTATTTTTCAAACTTCTTTTGGATGGAGAATTCTCTCTTCATAGGAAATTCTATCAGAAATGCCTGGTTTAAAAAGCACAGCTATATAGCATAGCAAATGTTTTTAAGCCCAGTAGTTTAACCTTTAGATCAAAGTCTGAAATCTGCAAAAAGAGGCTAAGGAAGCCCTTCGCCTTCTTTAGATGGAGTGGGAGAATCTGGCTTCCTTCTGAACATAATTAATAAATGAAGATTTTTTTTCCTATACCTCATCTTTGTCCTGTGCAGACCAGCAATAAGAGAACTATTAAGGTTAACTGATATTAACTATTAATAATATTAACTATTAATAATATTCAACTGAGTAGCCAGGTGCAGTGGCACATACCTGTAGTTCCAGTTACCCAGGAGGCTGAAGTGGGAGGAACACTTGAGCCTAGGCACTCGAGGCTGCAGTGAGCTATGATTTTGCCTGTGAATAGCCATTGCACTCCAGCCTGGACAAAATAGCAAGATCCCATCTCTAAAAAAAAGATAATAATAAAAACAATATTCAACTGAGTATTAAACCATTTTCTGTTTTTCTTCTTTCTTGCTCTGAAATCTTAAATTTTTATTTTTCAGAACACATGTGTACTGTGGTCTATTTTGATGACTGCATGTCCATCCATCAGTGTAAAATATCCTGTGAGTCAATGGGAGCATCCAAATATCGCTGGTTTCATAATGCCTGCTGCGAGTGCATTGGTCCTGAATGTATTGACTATGGTAGTAAGACTGTCAAATGTATGAACTGCATGTTTTAAAGAAGGAAAAGAAATGCAAACCAAAGCAGATTAGTAAAAAGAAAGGTATGAAAGTTATTCAGTAAGTCTGTTGGTTGCATCAGAATGCCAGCAAGTTAAGAAGATGTGAAGAATTTAGAATGAGTTGCTTTTAAAGTTATGACATACCCAGTATTGTGTTAAATTATGTGATTATAACTGCTCTTATTGACTTTACTGCCCACTAGCAATAAGCCCTTTCCTTTGAATACATGTAAAACTTTGGTCATATGAGAAGCGGGTGCACAGAGCATTCCTGGAAAGGTCTGAGGTTTTCAACATAAAGCCTAATGCTCTTTTCTTCTAGCATTCCAAAAGCTTTTTGTTTTTGAAAGTATTAGCAGAAGCACGTTAATGTGAGTTATGATTTCTTCATGTGCTACTCCTGAGACACTGAGTATTTGTGGTTGCACACCATTCTTCACTGCGCCTTGTATTGTTTATCTATTTTATATAAATAGAATAGTTACTCAAATATATCACTCTAAGAACTCACATAAAAATCACCATAAAAAGCTTAATTTCAAACCTTTTAAAGTGGGTTTTAAAAAGTAAATACTTACTGTATTTTATCATTGAAAACTCTTACTAGTAGTATCCATCTTATAATACATATGTTGACAGAGCTTTAGGGAAAGTTTCTCATTCTCTTCCATTCTCCCTGCCCAAAATGCCAACACAGGCAGTGATGAGGAATCCTTACCAAGGATTTCAGGGTACACCTTTGAATTTGCATTAAATACACCACTAGGGTAAATAGCAAGTTAAAGCATTTCTTTGACTTAAGGTACCAGCTTAAAGAGCACTCAGGGTGGGGAACAACCACCAAATCAGACTCACTTAGAGCACCAGGGAAATAGCTTGTCCCCTTGTAGGGAAGTTGTGTAGCCGAGTGGTCAGACTGTGCTGAAGGCAAGACAGAGCAGCGTGCCCAGCGCATGAGGGGCCAGAGAGGACTTGAAGAAGAGAATTTACGGGTATGAACAGGGAAGGGTGTAGTCTTTCGTTTGTTAAGTTCATGTCTGATCTAATGTTCTTACTAAACAAGTATAATCATATTGTGGGGGTTAAGATTATGAAGTTTCAAAATCTCTGTTCAAGATGATGTTCACTCCAAATACACTACAGAATATTTAGTCAGCTTTTTATATAATGTTTCAATAAAGATAAGCTTAAATACTATGTGCCCTTCAGAGTAATAAAATCCCAATTTTCAAGCATGAATTGAAAACATAAATATTTATATTATAGAAACCCTTAGCATTACAGAATTACTAATTTCTCTAGTGCGTATTTGAATTACAAGTAAGTTTCTAGGAACACCTCTTTATACATCTACATATTTTAGTATATAAAAATAGATAATACTCTTGGATACATTTTGTACTCATTATCTGAACAGTAGTTAGTCAAAAGATCATTTGTAATATTATGATTAACTATTATAAAATGTAAAGTCTTGATATCTTTTCTGTTCTTTCAGATAATTCTAATGAATATCAAGGTACTTTAGCCTTTTAAAAAGTTGAGATTTATCTCATGGGTATATTTTTTTGGTAGGAAAACATAAGAGTATCCTTTTCTTACTTTTGCCTAGAATGCCTCTGTTTAAAAGTGCCTTGAAAACATTTTAGCTCCCCTTCTTCACTGATACCTATAAAGCTGAGAGTTTTCTTGAGCTTTAGAGAGAGAAAACTTTAAAGGAATCTGCAGCCAGCTGCTTCATCTCAACTTTGCTGTTTTGCAAAGTAATTTCCTACCTATGAATGGAGGAATGCTTTCGCTTTTATTGGCAACGTGCTTAATGTTTTCTTAACGATGACAACAAACATTTTAAACTGCATGTATCATCTTTTTTCGGTCTTCATTATTAAATTTTAAAATGTAATATCTCTTTCCCACCCATTACATTGGGAGGATAATTTCTTAAACCACACTGTTTGGACTGATTTTTCTTACCTCTGTTTCTTCTCTTAGAAATTATCCCTAAATGTAACGGTCTTTTATATTCAAATTTTGATTAATTTTTCTGATTTATGAAGGGGTTGAAAGAAAAAGTTTACCTAAAAGATTCCATTTCTAGTTTTATAATGGATTTCAGGTTTTGAATAACAATATTTTTCCAAATTGAAAGTATAACATTTGAGAAGCCAATGGCCTTGCTAAAATTTAGACTCTCTATTACATCCTATTACCATTCACTTCTGTATTGAAGCTTTGGTAAAATTTGTTTTCTTTTTTAATCAAAAAATCAAGTACCTTTTTTATTACAAGATCAAAAATACACTAGATTTTAAATTGGTGAGTATTATAAAAGCCATTATAAAAGGTCCTTCCCTATAGTAAGACATACGCTTGCTAGCAGGTTTTTCTGTTGTTTATTTTTCCCCATAACATTTAATTATTACTAAAACTGTACTCATAATAGTGGCACCAAATCAAATGATAATTCATATAAAATCTAGTTTTTGTTTACATAGGATGGTATAAAAGAGAGGTGTTCACTTAGAAATATGATTTCTAAAGTTTCAGAAAACAAAATTGATGTTAGAATATTTGAACAATTATTTATAAATCAGAGTAGCATCAACATGGAGAAAAGAAACTGAAACTTCTTTGAAAAATCAGATGAATAAAAATAAGCCACATTTTAAAAATTTGTTTTTATGAAAGCTTCTTTGAAGATTTTAAAATCATTCTGCATTCCCAAGAGTCCATGTTTATTGTATTTCACATTATCTACAACATATAAAATTGTGTGTTTTTTCTTTGTCCCTGTAAACAAAAACTATTTTAATAAAAAATTGAAAATGAGTACGAGTCATGTGTTTTGTTAATTTCAGCATAGAGCACCAAAATGAGCGTGACATCTCTGTCTGGTAAAGTTAGTGTTTAAGGGATCCTTTCTCTCTGGATGTCCTACAGAGTGTTTTGGAACAGGGATCTCTGAACAGTTTGCTGTCTGCTTTCTCATAGGCTTTATTCCAAGATGGGAGAGCCTTTGAAACGAACACTTAGACCTTAGGATGCCAACCAGCTTTACAAGAACCTTGTAGTGGTTGGAAGAAGTGACAGAAAGATCAAGGTAGGAGAATAACCTTCCTAGGTCTCCCACCGTGATTCTCACAGGGTAATGTTACTGCTAGGATTGAGAGCTACAGGCTGTGCCGTCGTGGAAAAATGCACATCGTTTCACAGAATCCTCGTTTCGATGGCCAGTGAGCGGCGGATCTAGAGAGGGGAAGAATTCAGGAGGACCGCCTGAGTGACCAAAGGCGAGATGGAGCTGAGGAATTCGAGAGTTTGAAGGAAGGAGAGAACATTTGACTAGGAAAGTCTTCTTTTGCTGAAGGTGACCAGATGGCAGCAGATCATGTGGAGAGTCAGAAGAGGTATGGCTGGGACACAGAGCTGGGGGACTCCTCGAAGCCTGGGCAGGCAGGAGCCAGCAAGACCCCAGGGCCGGTGCCAGGGTGTGTCTGGCCCCTCTGGCTCCGAACCTGCGTCCTTTGAGTTCGGCAGCCAGGCAGACAGCGTCCCTGGCTTGTGGTGTTAGGAATTATGGCTCTTTGACTTTCTAGCTTTTTCTAACAAATAAACAGTAAGTTTGTTTTCCCTCCGCTGGTGATAAAGTCTGTGCTTGAAGCGTGGGCTCCGCACCAACTCCAAGGATCTGCTTTCGAGAAGGAGCATCTCTGGCCTGTCGCAGCAGTGCTGGGGAGTCCCCAGCCTGTGCTGTGACTCACAGAATGAAGAAGCCTGGAAAAACACAACCACCTGTCCCCCTGCGCTCCCCCACCCCGCCTGTCAGGGTGACAGAAATTCCCTCCTTGGGCTGAAGGAAGCCACTGAAGTCAGACACGGTCACCAGCGCAATATCTTCACGCAAAACTGTGTTTCCCGCCCTCCTGCCCTCACACCGCAGCAGCGGGTCTTTCTCAAACGCGTGCGGGAGGTCACGGCTCCCACCCCAGCGCCGGCAGACAGCAAGGCCATGTGCGCCTCTGCCTCCGAGGGCTTTGAGATCCCCACTAGGAAGTTGGAGCAGGGCAGACAACCTGCCTTTTGTTTGCTAGAAGCTTCCCTGGCTCCAGGGTGTCCTGGTGGGGACCGGGGGAGAGAGAGCGAGGCCTTTGAGGCCCTGGGAGAGGAGCCTGCAAGGGTGGAGCCGGCGTGGGTCTCAGACTGTGGGGACCAGAGCGCTGGCCCAGCTCCCTGGTCTGCAGCCGCGTCTCTCTAGGGGTTTCCACTCAGGAATGTCAGCAGCCCGGCCCTCGCTGTCCAGGGCCCCCTCAGCTTGCCTCCAGGGTTTCGTGAATCCCAAGATGGGTGACAGAGCCTCTCTCCCAGCCAACGGGGGATGGGACGGAGCTCAGAGTCGAATTTTGTTTGATTTAAAGAAAACAATGAGATATGTTGCCTTGCCGCCCTGCGTTTGTAGAATGCATTTGTGTCCCGGCCTCCTGGGCGGATAGCATGTCCTCCTGCTGTCTCACGCCCCTTCTCCCCACGGCCCGCCCTGGCGTTCTCCCTCAGCAGCAGCGTCCGCTCCACCCGCCCCGCCCGCAGCCTTTTTCAGGGGTTGTTGCCGCCGCTGGCTCTGCTTTTTGTGCAGACTGTGGCTCCTTGCTCTGATTCGGGTCTCCGCCCGTCTTCCCTGACCACCATTTCTACGGCAGCAGCCCCTTCCCGCTCTCCATCCCGTTACGCTGCCCCCTCTAACGGCAGGTGGCCGCAGAGGCACTCACCGGCCACTTGTTTACCGTCCGTCCCCTGCACTCGCTGTGGCTCCTCGCGAGAGCCCAGCACGGCTCCTGCGCGCCTCGCCGCCCCGCGCTGGGCGGGCACAGCTCTTCCCGGACGCGCGAGTGTGGCGGTCGCCCCGTGCGCTGTAAACGGGCTCCTGGGCGCTCAGAGAGTCCCAACCACTCCGGCCCCTCGGGGCCACCGCCAGGCCCGCTCAGCGGTGCAGGCCGCGTCCACCGCCCCCGGGAGTGTGTTTCACCAGCCTGGGACCCTCGTCTCTGGCGCCCCTTCGCTGAGACAC